GTATATGTATACACGTTAAATATAATAGGTACACTGTCGGTCGATTATATTATACACCGACGACGTATAATATAATTATATTTTTTTAATAATAATATGGTTACGCGCGGAATATAAATTGATAATTTATTTGTGATTCTCAAAACGACGTGAATAAGTGCCGGTCGGTCGGGTCGGTTGATCAATTAAAAAACGAACAAAAAAAAAAAAAAAATACGAAAAAAACCTTTAAAATAACAGCGGTGCTAAAAAAAAAAGAAAAAAAAAACAGTATTATATTATTATAATATAATATAGTGTTGTTACCACCCATGAACTCGTAGAAAAATGATTACCGCCGCCGCCGCCGCACGAACACAATTTTAATATCTATGTAAATAAATAATAATAATAACGAAAAAATATAATAATAACGATAATGGAAATCGCGGCGGTGGACTTATTTTTTTCTTTTTTTATTTCCTCCGAGAAAAGGGCGTGATGTGTATACCGGACAAGTATAATATATAATTACTTCCGCCGCCGCCGCCGCGTCCCGAATGTTTTGAACTGTATTGCATCATTATTAAGTTGATAACAACAACTTTTAATTATTATTTTTTTTCTCTCTCTCTCTCTCTCTTTAGATTCCGAGTGTATTGTGGCTAATACACCGCACTCGTTTTTGGCGGCGTTTTCGTTCTTCCCCTCGGACAACCTCCGCAAGTGCCCGGGGTACACGAACCGTTTTTGGTGTCCGGCGGCACCAAATCGGTGGTATTTCTTATCCGTTTCGTTCGCGCGGGTCGCCTTTTCGGCTATGGGTTGAAGGCGGTAACGAACACACGAACGGCAAATTTACGGCGGCGACGTAATGATAAGACGCGCACACGTGTTTGCCGGGTACGCTCGATTTTTTGAATTTTTCATTGAAAAACAAACGCCGCGTCGCCGCAGCGCGTACGCCCGGAGTTTACGCTTTTATTTCCACTCGTACACGGAACGTGATTTTTCCCAAGCGGGGAAAAAAAACGCAGTGTGCCGGACGGGCTTTCAATCAATAACGAAAACGCTTCTTTATCGCGACGGGACACGGAACAGTAAATAATATTATCATTTCCCCCCCTCTCCAGCCCCCCGCGAAGGGTTTAAAGGGAACCCGTAATACGTTGTTGAAACATACGTGATAATTGCGATACGCACACAAATATTTAACGATCGACTCGGGCATTGTTAACTATTATCGCAGTTGTGCTTAACCTGTACTGACCTCCCCTGGGCATCGGGTGTTTTTCAAAAGGTCACTGAATGCAGGGCGATTCACTAAGCGTGCTCGCTCCGTTTTTTCGGTTACATTTTGTTTTGCATAATTTATTCAAATTCTGATTGTTATTATCGGTGTATCGTTTGTGTGGCGGCACGGAGCGCAGCTTTGTATAATAAAGTCGGACCGCTAGTCTCCCTAGGGACTTAAAAGTGAAACGTCTCTTAAACCTAACCGTTCTACTCGGCGTTCGAAATATTCCGCGGCAGCCGGGTCGGCGCCGCGACAGACGGCGGTCTCAACATCTGTATAACATGCACGGGGGCATGGTCAGGGTTCGTTGGGGGGGAGCTTGGGCGGATAAGGGCCGACACGCCACTTTTCGGCATAAAAAACGAGTTACACGGCCAATCGTAGACAGAATTTTTTTTTTTTTTATAAATATGCTTCTTCTAGTGCGTGTAAAAGGGCTTATTGTCTACCGGTAACGATTGATGCGCGGCCATTGAGAAGACCGGCAATGCCGTTTAAAGAGACAATGCTGTCGCGACACGCAAAAAAGGCGCGGGAATGTTTTTTTGTTCTTAATTTCCCGAAATCGATTAAAATTGAAATCGGCCGCTTTCGGCCCATGCCTCAGAATTATATTCTATCCCATGGCATTATGTTCCGCGGAATGTTTTGTGCCAAAAGCTTTGACGCGAACGCGGGTTTAAGTGCGGCCATTGCGGGATAAAGCGGGTAGAAGCGTTAGGTATTTTATGAGTGACAGGAGAATTCCGATGAGATTTAACGATAAGACCACTGCGCAAAAGTGCGGCAAGACCGACAGTGTTGCGCGCGGTTCGGAGTGTCCGGGCGGTAGACGGAAAAACGGGAATATAATATAGAGAATGAACAGTGCATATAGCAGAGACGAGAACGGTCGGGCGGATGAGTGCGATATGACGTGAGAAGGAATGTCGAGTGATAATATACATAAGAGGTCGTATATCTTAGGCGTGGCTTTGATAGCCGCAGACAAAACGAGTGAAAATAAACAGAGATACGGTTTGGCCGTGTCACGATAAGGAGTGAGGAATATCCGACGCGGTAAAAATCGTAATGGAATGCATTTAGGAGGAAACAGTAGGGGGAGAGGAAGACCGAAAAATAGACGGTTGGATACAATTGACAATGATACGAAAACGGCCGGCGTACGAGAGATGGGAGAAGTGAGTCTGGCAGAAGTTTGCCGAACGCAAACGGTTGGAACGACGGCCAAAGAGAAGATGAAGAATGTATATTCTATAATCGACAGACCGGATATGTCGATACGCGATAAAAAAAAATTGCATTTTGTCACAGTATGTATACTGAGTGAGTGCTCACGCCAAACAAATCGCGATAGAAACCAGATAAAGATTCGTTACAAAGGAGTTAAAGGAATTGAGTTACAAAAGGGAAGTGTGCGGCGAACCGCAACGAACCGAACCTGACCTGACCTTGAACAATCGGTTTTAAAGATAAAAATAAAAAATAACATCCCCTTTAAGAAAATCTCTAGATGACGTTTCGAAGACCGTCGTCCGTCGTCGGCGTTTTTTGATTTATTAATAATGCAAACAAGTTACGGTTATTTCAAAAAAAAAAAAAAAACGCACAAATACATGAATAATATGTTAGAAGTTAAATATTTAGAGAATTATAGCGTAAATCAACACCGCAAGTCTTCAAGTTGTGACGTTTGAAAATTGTACGCGAAACGACCGTTTGTAAAATTGATTTTAAAGACATTTTCGTTTGTTTACGAGCGAACGCTTTTTTCGCTACATCATATCGCCCGTCGCAGGACTGCTGCAGTAACGGCGGACGGACACTGGCGACGGCATTTTAAAGAACGTTTCGGGATTTTCGAAGGTCGTTCGCCGTCATAGCGTTAAATACGGTTAGGTATACCGCATATACGTATTGTGGACCTTGGAGAGTAGGTAATATTTGCTGTTTGTCGTTTTCGCGTATACAGTCCGGCGACGACTCGGGAAGGAAAAATCGAAAATGGCGTGCGAAAAACGAGTTTATATTATTATATTCAGCTGGTATACGCATTCGATTTCGACCGAAATGTCGTTTTTTCTTTTTCTTTTTCTTTTTTAACGTCGACGAAGAACACACACGCATGTCTATTATGGATAACAGAACACGCGTGATAATATACATAAATATTATAATATTACACATATAGAGAATATAATATTATATAGTCCGAAGGCGGTCACAAAAAAACGTATACAGTATATTATATATTTCTGTGTGTGTGTGTGCGTGTAGTATATGTGAAATTACATCGGAGGAGAAAAAAAATGTTTTTTTTTTTTTTTGTTATTCCCCCGCAAAGAAAACCAGTAGCCCCGGGTAGCTGTTCCGAAACTTCACTCGCACGCACACACACACTCACACACAGAAGCGGTAAAAAAGGCGTTTAAAAATAATAATAAAAAACGACACATTTCGGATCGCGTGACCGCGTCGACCGCCATCGCCATCGCCGCCTCAGACTGTATATTATAATAAGGTACCTATATACGTATATACAAGGAGTTCGGGCGGGTAACTTGAGAAATTAGCGATTCGGCGGCGGGCGGTCGGCTTCGAGGACGGGGGAGGCCTGTCGGCTACCGAAATGAGAGAAATAAGTCAGTAAAAAAAAAAAAAAACAAAAAAAAAAAAAAAACCGGAGCCGGACACACACGCACAAAAATAATAATATAATAACGTTTTCGTCTGCTGCTGCTGTTGCTCCGGCCGGGACAGTCGGACTGGGGGCGGCGGGAAAAATATTCGTTTGCCGACGACGACGAGAACGTTATTATTACAATAATCTAACGTATGAATATTTTATTCGGTTTTTTTTCCCGCCCGACATTGTTTTCGTGATGATCGCGGCGAACGATGATGGAATCGACAGAAAAGAAAAAATAACGCCCGAAAATATCCGTCCGGAAGCGTACGTATATCGCGCGAGAGACTCGCCGCCTCCAACTCGTACGCCCGGGAGTGCAACAACGGGAGTGATGTGCGTGTGCACGCGTACACGTCCAAAGTCTGTGAGAAAATCGCCAAGGATCGGAAATTAGAAGGTTTTTTTTTTTCGCGTGGATACGATAGTCAAGCAATAATGTTCACGCGGTTCCCACGGGACTTCGGGGCCGCCGCCGCCGCCGGTGACCCGACGACGGCCGTCCGTTACCCCGGGGCGTGCGTTTGTTTTCGGTATACGCGCTCGACAACCGGATAATCGCGCCGCTAAATATTATTATTATCACATCATTATCGTCGTTGTTATTATTTTTGTGAACGTTCCCCCCGATGTGCGTTATCGCCTTTTGTTTTGCACCGCGGCGCGAGCGTCGAGTCGCTGCCGTCCGAGGACCGCGGTTACCGGCCGGTTATTAGATCCGATCGAAGGAGAGAAAAAATAAATATTTCGCTCCGGATTTCAGAAGAAAAAAAAAACGAGCAGCGACAACGACGGCGATAAGGAAAACGAAAACAGACGAACGGCCGCAGACGCGGCACGTCTGGCCAAGTTCGAATTACCGGCCCGCTAAAATCCAGAAAACCTTTTATTAAAACTAGCCTATGGACCAAAGGCCGACATCGGTGTACACGGGAGACTATCGCAGGATATACGTTCAGTCCCGCCGAGATCGTATTTCTCTTCTCGTCCACTGTTTGTCTCTGTAACGTAACTGTACGATACCATCGCGTCCATCTGCAGGAATCACTGTGTATCAGAACTCGCGTCGGCTTCGCAAAACGATTGCGACAAAGGTCGAAGCGACGACGCTTCCGCATAACCGCTCGGCGCAATAAATTGCAGGGCTCGCGTACGGACCCGCGAGTAACCGACATTCTCGTTAACCGTTCGGTAATATTTGAAATCCGTCGCAGTCGTCTCCGTTTGCGGTTCGCGTTACCCGCGGGTACTTTCGATTTTCCGGAAAATGCGAACGAGTTCGTGTGCGTAGTACAGTACGTCGCAAAGTCTACGGGAGCGGTTTCCGCGCGTGACCGGACTCTCTGCGGCCTGCACGGCCCGCGGGGACCGCGAATCGACCGACTTTTGCACATTTACGCGGTCGCGGCGTGCGGGCGGACCAAAACGATTCGTATATACAAACACTCGAGCCGGCGAATTATTAATATCCGGCGGTGCTGCGTCGGACGTTTTGACGGATTCACGGCCGTTCCGAACACGCGTATCGGTCCCCCGTTCTCGAGTGTACGGAGATACGACCCGCGCGTATATATATATACGCGTTTTTGCGCCTCGGAATTTATTTCGATCGTTCGCCATTCGTTTCGTATAATTTTTACGGATATTCGCCGCCGCCGCCGCCGCCGCGTGTCCGACAATACCGATTTGTCCGGTCGACCGGAAGTTTTCCCGCGCGATAATAATAACGCGGACCGCCCACTAGCACGACGACGACGACGACGACGACGACACATACTCGTACGCGAGGGGGACCCACTTACGTCGCGGTTTTGTTTTCGCACAACATTCACGCCCGCCTCTCGGGTTTTTCTCGAAAATAATAATCGTTAATCGCGCGCAATCCGGACGGGACCGGTCGGCCGGCTGCGCACGGCGTAAAACGCGATTCCGTTCGAAACGTTCGCCGCGCGTACCCTGTAACAACAACGTACGCCGGAGCGGACACCGGACGAAAACCGCGTGCTCCGGCGGACGACGGCATACGTTCGTACGGGGGACGATAATCGAATCGATTTCCACGCAGCGGCCGTCGTCGTAATCCGCAGTCACCGTCGGGATCCCGCGTCAATAACGTGGCCCGGCGCGCGCGCTACCCCGGCGGTCGGTAATGGCGGTCGGCGGCGGCACGCGTACGGTATTTAATATCGCGGCACGTCGCCGTGTCCGTCCGGGGAGCCGTTTGAACGCGCGTGTTCCGCCGGCGGGCCGATTTCAATTCGCCAACACGAACGCGCGCGACGCGTACGACACGGCCGCGCGGAACGGACGTTCGAACGACAAGCGGGCGTGGTTTTCACGGCCTTTTCTCGGCCGTCCGGTACCCCGAACAACGCGTAAACGTGTACGGCAACAACGTCCGTTAAAATGTCGATTTCCGACGGCCACGGCGATAAATTGCCGATTTATAACCGAGCGTTTACGCGTATCGGTTTTGTGCCGGACACGGAGACAAAGCCGAAATCGATACGGAATAGCTGTTTTATTTTATTATTTTATTCCGCCGGCGCGAAACACTTTCAGTCAAATTTTCCGTCCCTGTACAATTTACACGGCGACGAACGGTATTGTTCGCGGACAAACCGCGCGATACCGCTCCCGGGTCCGAACAACGTTTATTTATTTTTTTGTTTATTATTATTTTCCCAGACGTTTTCGCGATTTTTTCGATAAAAACCGGCCCCTCATCGTTTTCCCAACCGCGCCGCCGTATAATTTCCATTTCCCGCGCCACCGTCTTGACATTATGTTATTACTCTGCTCCGCCGTCAACACCGCCCTGCAGCACCCACGCGCGTTTCTTTGAAGTACAATCAAAGGACTCCGCGTAGGTACATAACATAGACTGTTGTAGGTGCGTACACACGAACCCTCATTAGTGCGCCTATGATGTTTTATTATTATTATTTTTTTTTTTTGTTCGCGTTCCACTTTGGCTTATACTGCTGCACGCACGCGGACATTAAATCCATCTACGCGCCTTCGCTACACCGCGGGTTCCTTAATATTAGACGTCATATTTTTCCCGTCCGCTACAGAACCGTTCAGTTTTCCGGCTTCAAACTCGCGCGGCTGGACGTCCTTCCCGCCCCAAACACTCGAACGTTATCGTTAGTGTTTTTGCGAGAAAAATTCGCTTCACGCGTCCGCGGAGCGTGCACTCGTTTTTACCGCGGTCGGCGACAATAAACACGCGCCGCGCGTTCTCCGTGCATATTATTTCCGAACGATTTCCCGGGAGCAGGAGGAATCTCCGGAAACGTACAACGTCTTCTTTTTAAACGGGTCGGCGGATTTCGCGGCGGTCCGACGGCGGCGCGTAACAATATTTTTTATCTGCGGGTTTTTTTATTTTTTTTTTATTTTTATTTTAACGCCGCGCTAACGCGTTTCGTACTATTCGCGCAAACGACGACGTGTTATTATTATTATTATTGCACGTGACACATTAATTCCGAAAACCGTGGGATATCGCCTCGCGTTAAAAAACCGATAATTTTTCACGTATACACTCTCGTATACCACGGTACACAAGCACACACACACGCACGCACACACACACGTATATATATATATATATATAAATAAACGTTTAATATTTATACGCGTTGTTATTGCGCGCCGCCGTCCGACGATATATTCGCGTCGTTGGGTATTTAGCGTTTAAAAAATTCGACGGGTTCCGCCGCGACACCGGACTCCGGTTTGTTGATTTTTTTTTTTTATTATTATAATTATTATTATTTTTTTTTTTTTTATTACGTACGCGCAATAAAACAAAAAAATTAGACGTTTTCGTCGAGGGAGGCCGTCAACCGTTTATAATAATATATACATACACATTTTTTTTTTAAATTATATTATTATTATAACGTTATACCGCCTATAGTCGTCGGCCGGCGACTAAACTGCAACAGCGCCGCCGCTGCCGTTATAATCCAACGATAATTTAAAGCCCGGGTTTATATCGCCGGCGCGCGTTTCCGCGTGGTTTTTTTTTTGTACTTATTTTTTTTTTAAAACAGCGTGAAAACAAAAAAAAAAAAAAACAAATAAATAAATAAAATAAACGTATATTCGGACACGGACGTGAATTATTATAATGATATTATGTAGTCCGGCCGTGCGACAAATTATAATATGCACCGCTGCGGTGGTACGAGAGCGGGTTTTGATGTCCGAACGCGCCCGTCACTACTCGTGTATAGCGTACACACCCGGCTAGCATACAGCACCGGTTCTCAATATTTTCGACGCTGGCACGATAGCACTTTTGATGGGCCGGCTCGGACCGCCTCGATTCGCTGACGAGTCGTAAATTTGCCTTCGCTCGTAAATCAAATTTTCGTTTCGCGAGCTCGGCGGCACGGGTATCATCGGGTACGCCAGTCGGTTCTAAACGCTCATATTGTACCGGGTATCGATCGAATTCGCAGAGCTCTTGCAGTTTTTGCAGACGACGCATACCGTTGTGTGCCGGACCACCGCGGTGGTGGACAACCCGCGACCCACGGCTAGGGGGTCGCCACCTCTCCGGGCTTCACGCAGACACTCCGGTTTTGCATATAAATCTACGGGCCACGGGCTCTGCGGATTATTCTCCGGGTCATTGTGAAATCGGCACTATTCGTATTGTAATTGCGTGTATAGTTTGTCGGTGAGCAGCGAGAACAATAATTTTTACTCGCCGAAACGTGAGATAAAATACGATTTATTGACTATTGTTGTACACATGCGTATAGGTACAGGCTCGACATTATCGGCTAATCGCCCCGTCTCCGGGTCTACAATTATTCAGAGGTGGCTACCCTACCTGCAGCTAGCGTACGTTTTGGCGGATTCGCCAAGCGCGCGACTGCAGATACCGAAACGGAGAGTTCGGGTTTTGAAGGCGATCGCCGGTCCCCGAATCGGTCCCCTGATTGTTCAATAAGAACCGCTGGTTCAAAACGTAACTTTATTACGATACTGTTATACAAACACGATTCGACGGAGAATAAACGCCACACCGTTAACAATATATTGCCGCAGTATATTGTTCGGATTGCAGTTTTCGGTCGGTTTTCGGCCACTAGTCGATCGTTTACAATGTTCTGTAGACCGAGAGCACAAAATACGACCCGACCAACTGCGGGTTGGCGTCGCGCTACAAGGATTTCGAAATTATTTTTATAAAAACACCTTAGTCTCTCGTCGTCGCACGTACACGCGTGTATAATGTAATGATATGCTATTTAAGCTATCATACATTATGTAAAATAAAATATTATGTAATGTTAATAAATCAAACAATTAATAACAGGAATGATAGTAAAACATTTACATCCGATTCCATTCTTTTTTATTATCAAATAACATATATTTTAGTACGATATTTACTCATCGTAAGGAGATAATACTTAAGCTATCATATATAATTAAAATAAATTATATAATCAATATTGTAAAATAATTATAATAATTTGTAGTCATTAATTATTAGATTAAGTTGTTAGTATTAACTAAATTAAGATAGCACATTTACACACGCACACACACATATTTCTCCAGTTATAAGGAGGCCGGCCACTTCCAATAAAC